TGTTTCTTGCAGAAAACAAAAAGATAGGCTTTGTTTCTCAATCCATTATACTAGTCTGTGTCTTCTGACTGGGGAGATCAGTCCATTGATATTTAAAGTTATTAATGAAAGATGTGTATTGAATCCTGTCATTTTTATTTCTGTTCACATTCTTGATATAGTTGTGCATTTCCACATTTATATCTTCATTGAATTTCTTTTCATAACCCCTTGTGTATAGTCATTCCTTTATTCAGCTTAAAGACACACATCAAAAAGTTCATCCACCATGATCAAGTTGGCTTTATTTCAGAGATGCAGGGATGGTTCAATATATGTAAGTCAATAAATGTCATAAATCATATAAATAGTCTCAAAGACAAGAATCACATGGTCATCTCAATAGATGCAGAGAAGGCCTTTGACAAAATTCAACATGCATTTTTGTTTAAAGTCCTAGAGCCAATTGGACTGGAGGCACCATACCTGAACATACTTAAAGCCAAATATAAGAAACCCACAGCCAACATCATTCTAAATGGAGAAAAACTGGAAGCATTCCCATTGAAATCAGGAACCAGACAAGACTGTCCACTATCTCCACTCCTCTTTAACACAGTGGTTGAAACACCTGCAAGAGCAATAAGATAAGAGAAAAAATTAAAGGAGTAATAATCAGAAAAACAGAAAAAGAGTACATGGAAACACTCCACTTCAAAATAGGTGTTAAAATATATATATATATCTTGGAATAAACCTGACCAAAGACATTAAAGACCTCTACAATGAAAATTTTAAATCTTTTTAAAGATAGAGATTGAGGAAGACATCAGAAGGTGGAAGGATCTCCCATGCTCATGGATTGGAAGAATTAATATTGTGAAAATGACCATCCTACCAAAAGCCTTTTATAGATTCAGTGCAATGCCAATCAAAAGCCCCATGATATTCTTCACAGAATTGGAAAAAACCATCCTAAGATTCATATGGAGATGGCCAACATAACCCTGAGCAGTAAGAACAATGTCTGGGGGATTACTATACCAGATTTTAAACTGTATTACAGAGCTATAATCATAAAAACAGCATGATACTGGCACAAAAATAGACCCGTAGTTCAATGGAACAAAATTGAAGAACCAAATATGAGTACATGCAATTTCAGTCACCTGATATTTGACAAAGGGGCCAAGAAAATTCACTGGAGGAAAGACAGCACGCTCAGCAAATGGTGCTGACAAAACTGGCTCCACCTGTAGAAGAATGAAACTAAACCCCTGTCCTTCACCTTGCACAAGAGTCAACTCCAAATGGATCAAAGATCTCAATGTGAAGCCTGAAACTCTGAAAGTGTTAGAAGAAAACATTGGCAATAACCTACAAGATATAGGTGTGTTGCTGTGTGGCTCGGGGGTTGGCTAGCCCCTTTGGGTATCTTGGGATTACCCATCAGGGGCAGGGGGAAAGTAGTTGCAAAGTCAATGACACAGACTCTGGGAGACTCACTGTGTAGTAAGGAAGCAAGCTCATTTATTGCGTACAAAGGGCTTTTCTTTATACCCCCCAAACTTCCCCTATTGGCCCTGAAGGCTGAGCTGTTTATCGTCCATTGGTGTAACTGCCGTGTCATCTGTCTCTAGCCAGGGTGGCAGATATCAGGTTAGCAGTTCGAGGAAGTTGGCTGTAGAAGAATGGCATGCCTGCGCAAAGGTATCCAGTCCGGTGCCTGGCAGATACCCATGGACCTCTTCCTACATTTCCACCCTTTTGTTTTTAAAGGCAGTCCAGTGGGAGTCAGGCTGCTGCCTGACATAATCGTGCCCACCTCGAGATGACCTCAATATTACAGGTTGTGTCTGTCTTAGGTTGTTCTTACTCGGGGCATAAGCCTTACCTGTCATGGGAGCATGCATCTAGCCCATGCATGTCCTGTCTTAGGTTGACTTGTCCCGGTAGAATCTTACCCATCATTGTCTACCAACCCTGAGGGAGGTGTAGTCTCGGGGGATCTGCCAGGGTGGAGGGCTAGTTTAGGAGGAGGCCTTTCGTATATGAGCTAGCCAGGTCTGCATGACCTCCTGAGGAGGGCCCTGGTCTGGATGTTGTAGGGCTGAGAGGACCTGAAGGGTTGTTTTGTTGGTGGTTCGCCAGCGACAGATATGTGACAGTAGGCACCTGAGGATGAACAACATAAGAAGGAGCACACCTCCTACTAGTAAATAGGTTAGTAACCATGATGGATCAAAAAGTCTTTTAAGATTTTCCCAGATTTTTGTTATTAGGCCTGTCTGTAATGACATGACTGAAGCTCTAGTCAAATTTAGCTGTATAATTTGATTTGTTAAAATATTTGAGTAATTAAGAAAGTCTTGGGACCAAGTCCCCTTGAGGAAGTTAGCCAGTTCTTGTCTGGTCTGTGTGAAATTTTGTACCTGGTATGGAGTCAAGCACAGTGCACTAAACCTGGGATCAGAGACCAGTAAAGTCATTTTTTTGTACCAAGGTAAGTTCTTCTGAAACTAGGTCTATTTGTTGTTGAAGGACGTGTATGGCTTGGAACAGGTGTTGGTTGAGTTGAGATTGGGTGTACAGCACCATAGCTGATTTTTCTACTACCTGATTGATTGTTTCTACCATAGAAGTGCCCTGGGTGAGGGCCATGGTGGCAACAGCAGTAGTGCCTAGAGATGCAATAACTGCGGCAATGATTGCAGCAGTGAGACCAAAGTCACGTTTTACATGAGCAAGGGAAGTAAATTCCATTCACTCCATAAGTATGACAGTGTGGAAATGGGTAGCATTTTTAACTGGTACCCAAACTGCGGCTGGTTTGAGCATGAGGAGGAGAAGAGTAGCAGGATAGACCCAGCATGCCATCAATACACAGGTGACATTGGGGGTAGTGCAGTTAAGGTGCTCCCCTGGATTGGTAGAGACATTGGCCAATAGCATGACAAATGTGGGTCTAACACAAACAGGAGTGGGGTTAGACTAATTGTTTGTGACTGGGTAGCATTGGGTTTGGGACTGCAAGACTCATTTTTTTTGACATGGTAGGAGCCATTAAAGTAACTAGCTCCCCGAGCAAAGAGTAAGGGTCAGAGATCTAAGCAGGCGTGGGGGCTGCAGAGATCCCAATTTCCGAATATGGAGTCCCATGTCATGGAGCTGATCGTGTTCCCACATGGGTGGTAGTAGGCGAGGGGGTCTCCAGGCACTGAGCTTGTTCCCAGGCAGGGCACCCCAGAAATCACAAAAGTGGGGGGAAGCCATGGGGTTGTGTGGGTTACAATTTTGCCACCGTAGGGGCATGCGCAAAGTGGTGGGTATGCTAGCCATGTGTGGGCATCTGACTAATGGAAGGTGGCAGATCTTGTCGCAGCCCGGCCCCAGAGGAGAGGTGGGGGGTCCCTGTCCCTCCTTTCATTATGGCCCCTAGAGTTGCAAGGACAGAGTTCTCACTGGTGGTATCCATAGAGGGGGAAAAATGCTGTCCTGATTGGGATTATTGCCCTGTGTGACCTCGGGGTGACTCAATGGAGAGGTCAGTCATTTTTTGTCTGTGACAATGTTCATTGAAGGAAGCTAAGACTTCCTCGATGGAACCCAACTTAAGGCTCCCCAAAATGCTGAGAAGGATGGGAACAAAGGGAGCAGATGGGACCATGCCCTCCTGAACCTCATGTTTATGGGTCAGGAAAAGGACCTGCATCCACATGTCCGGATCCCACATATTTTCAGGAGAAATCCAAGGAGCGATTACAGAGGCCTCATCCCAGAACTGTTCTAATTGACTGCGATTGACTTTTAAGACTGCGTGTAACTAAGAGGGATTTAAGGGCCATAATCTGAGGTTCCTTACAGTGGGAAGGGAAGGTGCCCATGATGGGAAATGAGAAAGGAAGGTGTCCTAAGCTTACTGAGGGGGTCTCATAGTGAAATTTGCTGAGAAATTGAGATCAAAAGGAGGCTCTCTGCAAAAGTAGAAGGCTAAGAAGACAACAAGGAATGCAAGGAAAAGGCACAGAAGAACAGTTAGCCACTCAGAGTAGAAGTGGTTAGACATAGTGCAGTGTTTAGGACCAAAATGTCTTGTGCTTAGTGGGAGACTTCCATGGTTTGTTAGGCCCTGGCCGTATGCCCACATGGTGTCTCTGGTCGAAAGAAAGCTTTCAGGAGATCTCCTGTTTGTCCCGTTTCCTGGGTGATCAGCCCTTATGTGGAAACACCAGGCAGACCGAAAATGAAAGTATGTACCTCCCTACCGAGGATGAACAGATGCACAAACAAACAGAAACCTGGAAGGGGCCTACACACCAAAAAACAGCCAAAGGGGACCAAAACAGGTCGACGAGGAGACAGAGTAACCTGGATGGTGGCTAGAACTCAAGGAAGCCAGGGGCCCATGCCAGCATGGGTCTGGAAGGCCACATTGGGTGCCAGATGTTGCTGTGCAGCTTGGGGGTTGGCTAGCCCCTTTGGGTGTCTCAGGATTACCTGCTGGGGGCAGGGGGAAAGTAGGTGTAAAGTCAATGACATGGACTCTGGGAGACTCACTGTGCAGTAAGCAAGCAAGCTCATTTATTGCATACAAAGGGATTTTCTCTATACCCCCCACCGAACTGCCCCTATTGGCCCTAAAGACTGGGCTTTATTGTGCAGTCCATTGGTGTAACTGCTGTGTCATCTGTCTCTAGCCAGGGTGGCAGATATCAGGTTAGCAGTTTGAGGAAGTTGGCTGCAGAAGAATGGGGCGCCTGTGCAAAGGTCTCCAGGTTTGGTGCCTGGCAGATACCCATGGACCCCCTCCTACATAGGTGTAGGAAAGGATTTTCTAAACTGGACATCAATTGCTCAGGAAACAAGGTCAAGAATCAACAAGTGCGACCTCATTAAACTAAAAAGCTTCTGTACATCAAAAGAAGCAACCAAGGAAGTGAATAGAAAACCCACAAAATAGGAGAAAATCTTCACCAGCGACACATCTGACAGAGGTTTAACATCCAAAATATATAACTGTTGGGGAACCCTGCTGCTAGGATTGTAGTCCTCCATGTCTGGATAGCTCTAAGGGGCTTGGCACTATATGGAAGGACTCCCCTTCTCAGCAGGGGGCCTCCTGCTCTCTGCCTGACTTACCTGGAAAGTGCTGCCAAACACGGATGCCTGACCTTATTTGGAACATGACCTTTGGCATAGTTACCTGGAGTAAAAACTACCCCCAGGTTTTTTCTATATGATAATTAGGCATTGCCCGATAGTCGGATGATAGGAGCCTACTCCCACATGTAAATAAAGCATACCATGAGCACCTATCAGGTGAAGCATTGGCTACTGCCTCCACACTATATTTTCCCTAACCCCCACTGAATAAACGGAGCTGTTTCACTGAGTCTGGA